AGAGTTGCTGATCTGAAATGTAAAAAAATAACACATTTATTGATACTTGCAGGAATTACACAGCCTTGCTGCTGTTCCATATCAGCAGCTTATCACCATGCTTAATTGCCTTTCTTGTTAGCATTTATTGATACCTGAGTTACATTTTGCCAATGGTTTTCTACAAATGGAATTGTTTCCCCCCCCCCCCCAGGGTCTTCCAAAAACAGCTCATCCCTTTAACCCAGCAGATGCCTGTTTTCATGCTTCTCTGTATATTCTTTCTTTTAGACCAAGCAAACATAATTTGTTTATTCTCTTTCCATGAGACATATTTTCTGAAGAAGTCACCAATCTTGTTTGGACCAGAATGACATAAATAATTGACAGTGCAATGCCAGCAAGTATCAAAGACAGATTATTGCTGTTTCATGCATATGGCAACAGTGCAGTGTGGCGTGTGCCTATTTTGCAGTGGCATCACGGTAACTCATTAATTGCTTTTAGCTCCATCCTAGCTCACCTCTATTATTGTACTGGTAGTAGTGTTTATCAGGAGCTACTGCTGTTAGCTAATTGTTTCCCCTTTTTATCAATGCCATTGAGTTCTCCTTCCTGAATATGTTCACTTGCACTTGCCCATTGGATTTGGTGTTATGAACTCTCCTTTAATTCATTCAAATGATTAGTAATCTGTACAGCCCTCTAAATTGGTTCTAGCTCTTACCACCCATAGGCTATCTGTTCCATCAGCAATGGAAAGACACTTCTGCTCTCTATGTCCTGACATAGCCACAAAACCATTCTCCTCAACAAGTATGAGCTACCTGACTGGCAGTGCTGGGTTCTGTGCACAGATCACAATCTGCAAGAAGAACATTATGGTAGTTCATGTAAATATATGGTAACTGAGAGATTCCAAAGGTTCTCTTCCTCTAGTTAGTCTCAGCTGTATTATTGTTTCTGAAATTGAGAATTCTAGTATATAGCATTAATTAGCTACTGATTGTAAAGCATGAAAAATACCTTTAAACATACTACTTGTTGGTGACATCTCTGACCCCTCTGATAACTACTCCACCAAAGCTGACACTGCTGAATACTTCCCTAAACATGCTCCCTAGACAGGTTTATCACATTTGTGGTGTGAACATGGCAATTGTCTGTTAGAAATGAGGTCTATGAAACCCATCTGGCATGGAGGATAAAGGAGAAGTTGCTGGTGACCAGACCATGCCTTCACAGAGGAGAAGTGCTGGAGCTTGCCTGTTACTTGTTTTTTCAGGCTCAAGGCTGCATCCATCTTCTACCGCTAATAAAAAAAGTGAGCAGCTGTGTGTGTATCTGAGGCTTGCTCTGACCCATGCTGTCTGCTTGTCATCTCTCAATAAACTAATCACCAGCCAGTGATTAGGACACAGCCACATCCCCTGCCTCTGTGACAAGTGGGGGGTGCCAACAGCTGTGTTAGATTTTACCCATTCCTGCATTCTGCTTGCCACCATCGTGGTAGGAGGAGGTAGCAGCCAGCCACCTCACAGCATGCTCTGGATCGCCGGTGAGGACATTACCAAGCTGAAGGCTCCTAGCACAGGCATTTGCTCAGGTGCCCCCATGACGGGCCCTGTAAAGAAGGCTTAGCTCTGCTGGCGGGCGGGGGGCCATCTGTCTGCATCCCACGCACAAACGCAGTATTTCTCATGCTGATCAAGAAGAGCAAACAGATGGCACTTGGCAGCATGAAACTGATCCTGAAAATTAAAGCAGCTAGTAGTAAACAGCGCAGGGCTTATTTTTTGAGGGAACTGAAGAAGGGGTGAGAGGGGAGTAGGGACCATTGCTGAAGGTGTGGGACAAGGTGAGGAATGTCCGGTCTTGCAGGGTGATGGGTGACATCAGGGGAAGAGGCTGCCACGTGTGAGTAGTATCAGCAGTTGGTTGACTGCCCTGTTTCCCAGACCTCTGGGCATCCCCGCTCACACCCTACCCACCCTGTCTGCTCATTGCTCGCACTGACTCTACTTGTCTTTCTTCTCCCACAGGCCAGGGAAGGAGAAGTAGCCATTATAGATAAGGTTCTGGATAATCCAGGCTTGACGTCTAGAGACTTTCAAGAATGGAAACAAATATACCTTGACGTCTTTTTGGACATCTGTCACAACAGCACCCCGAAGGGCTCTGTTAATGGCTCATCTGAGGTCGACGCACTTCTAGCTTCCTTAGCACACACGCACTCCTACATTGAAACACACGTATAAGGGGTCCTCTTCTATTCCATTTGCTACACTTCAGGCCTTTACATAAGTGCATAAATTAGGCTTTATATCAATATGTGGAACTTCTAGTAAATTATCTTCTAATGTCACTCAGCCGTGTGATGTACACCTTCAACGGTCAATGATACCATGTCTTTAATGAGGATTTGTGTGTTTTATGCACTACCAATGCTCCACCTGTGTTTACCTTCTGTAAAAAGAACATGATCTTTAACTATTAGATAGAAGTATTTAAAAACATTTTTGGAAGACTGTGGCCTGTTCCACAGGCTAAAGGTTTTGTTATTGAAGGTTGCTTTTACAATGATATTTTTTATTATGTAATTCCAGTATTGTATTGCATTTTTGGAGTGCAGGTACTATTTTGGTGGCAGGGGAATAAAAGAAAAATTATATTTAATGAGAAACTCTAGGAGTTTTCTTACATAACAGGGAAAAAGTGTAATGCAGTGACTGTGTTTCCATTTTGTTGAACACAAAAGGGCTAAAATCAGCCCACCATAATGACTAATGTGAATTTAAGTATTAAACATTTAGGTTTTATTTCCTTGTACTTTTTAAAAGCCTGTTGCTAAGGTTTACCATCAGTGCAAAGAGATACTGGTCTATATTCTAATTAAGACAAAATTATGTGTTACTTGTCTCTACTTAAATCACATTTGGTTGGTTCAATTTTTTTAAACAAAAATTAGTCATGGTACTGTCATTTATGCTGCTTTTGTACCGAAGGGATCAGATTTTGCAAAAGAGAAAAAGTAGACTTTGAACATCCTTGATAACTGCATTTCTATTGCCCAGAAAAGCAGCAGTGGAAAAGGTTCCCAACAAAATGCTCCCAACCTGAGAGGCTTTGAAAATTCCCACAGTAGAAAAGGAGTGAAATTTGGCCATATTGTACTCGGAGGAAAAGTATGATAGGAACAGAGCTAAGCACAGAACCTGAGAAAACTGAGAGCTCGGAAAGTCTCTGCTCTGCCTCTGAATGTCTCTGGTTTCTGCTGAGTTCACAAGCCAACAGAAGAGTTTTAAACTTTCCTGAGAGTTGAGATGTGCTGCAGAGTGCACAGTGAATATAAGCAGAAATATCTCCTTAGATTTAGGCACCCGTCTGGAATAGGGAAGCAAGAGGTAAAATATCATCTATTTATTCTTTATGGTCTTGTTTTCAAAAAGTGATCAGAGCGTGACAAAGCATTTGTGCTGCTTTTCAGTGTTTTGCTGCGTAAGTTAGGATTTGAGACATAGCTGAGTAATGCTCATGCAAGAGGGCACAGCTTCCTTTATTCTTTCTACAGTAAGTTGTACGTTTAGCCAACCTTTTCTTACTGCCTGTACAGCTCAGTGAATGTACTTCAAACTTCATGAGCTCTGGTATTTCCTGGCAGTTATATCCATGACGAGATGAAGGAAAGAACAGTCAGATTTATTTATTTGTTCTCTCTCTTTCTTTCTTTCTTTCTTGTTAGTTTATTTGCATTTATTCCTTTATTTTTCTCTCTTTCTTCCTTGTTATCCTATTGCATTCAGATTGCAAATGTTTTGCAGATTTTGCACAATTGTACAGAAGAGTGGCCTTTCCGTAGCCCATTTTCAGTAATCCTATATATTCGAGTCAATATGGATCATATATTAACGACATTTGTATAGAATTCTGGATCCAGTGTAATATTTGTACCATTTAGAAGAATATTGTTTGTATAAACTGAACATTTATTTACTGCATGTACTGACTTGTATATTAAATTTGTGAGGTTTTTGTACATTTCTCTTAAAAAATGCTTGACTTGAAATGGGTTGTGCTATTGTTCCAAGCATTTAGATTCTCTTGCTACTGTTTTACCGGACCAAAAGTAAATATATTCATATAAAACCTCTTTATATCTGATGGATGTATATGCACATTGTGTAGTTGATTCCTTGTCAAAACCAAGGCAGTTCAGAAGATTTAGATCTGTTGCTATGCAACAGCTATTCTGCCTGCACTTTACATTAGTAAAGTCAGCTTGATTGCTTTAAAGGTGAAAATTAAACATTGCAGTTTTTTAAGCTAGTCTAGTGACAAAGAACATGTGTCCTATCCATTGTGCTGCCTTCTTTTAAGACTATTAAATGTTCTTCTATATATATTTTTATTGTATTAACTCTCAACCTAGGAAGGGAACACTGTAAAATGAAGTACAATAAATTTAGCTTTTAAATGAACATCTCTGATTCGAGCTTGAATTTACTGTGTACAAAAACAGTGGCATCTGACCACTTTACCCGCATTTCGCAGATCAGTGTTCCTTCAAGTTCCTTAGCAATTGGGCAATGTCTGCAAACTCAGCCAGCATGGCCAAAAAGAAGTAGGACCATTGCCGGTCGGTTTGTAGGCTGTAGGCAGACTCAGAATGAAGTCTGCTGAAAGCCTTCTGTTGCATTCTTTCCCTTTGCACTCTTTGGTGAAAGTAGACCTGATTGCTGGGTTCTCTCATGTTCAGTATTGAAAAATTTTACTATTATGATCAGGTATGATAAAGCGATGTATGCTTTTGAGGTAAGTATCAGGGCATTAGGTACAGCAACTCCTGAAACGTGTCATAGGGTCTTGCAGTATGTACATCAATTCAGCTCTGGCTATCTAAATTAACACAAGGCTTGAATACATGAGAAATGTACTGTACCAGTAGTGTTTCTTCAGAATAATGCAAAACAATCATCTCAAAGGCATGCTACAACAAAGGCTGCTCAGAGAGAAATGGCTTCTATGAAACAAGCACTGTTTTAGCACATGGCCACAATTGAGGCTACATTTTATAAAATCCATGCTTTATGTCCAGTAATTTCATGCTGTTTAGCTAAGGCACTCCTGCCTAGTATGTAGCATATTAAAATAATACCTTTCCTTGGCACTACTTGTTATTCATTCTTACAGCCATCAATTTTCTCATCTTTATACATCTCACTTTCACTTTGCTTAGCCATACCATAGCAATTTGATAGCACTTACCAACTGGGAAAATTACCTCTGATTAAGAAAACAGAAAAGATGGATTATATTTTTTAACCTTAGAAAAATTCTGACTTACAACAACTCTTAATTGCTATCTAGGTATTACTCTTCAAAAAAAGTCAAGGATTATGATTCTAGCTCCTCTCCTCCACATATCCTACTTGCTACATCTTTCCCCAGTGAGGTTGACTTTCAGATCTACAAATTGCTGCACCTTTTCCCGGGTTGCAGCCAGTCTTCCTTGCCTGTTTCCACCCAGTATCTTGCTTATCACCGTAGAACCTCAACTCTGTTACATCCAGTGCCATCACAATTTTCTTCTTCTCCAGAGTTGCCCCACTGCTCATCTCCTAGGGCTGTCATTCCACGATGCCTTGGCTCAGCAATTCGGCAGCTTCTTTTTCAGGGTGTCACTGCCCTGTTCCTCGTCCATCTCTGACAGCTGCAGCACTGCACACTGCAGCCCACACCAGGGCAGGGGGGCTTTGCAAATCTCCTCCCAGCTATCGTTGTCAATGTCATAGCCAACCACGTCCTGTGTGGGGACTTCCCTCGAGTCTTGCCATTTCTTTCCCCCAATGAGAAGAGCTGTTTCCTCGACTACCACCAGACCATAGCAAAATCGGTCATAGATCAGCGGCCTCAAACGAGTCCATTGGTTTTGATCAGGGTCATATCTTTCTATTTCAGAGAATGGTTCATATAAACCTAAAAATGTGAATATGGCTTCTCTGATTGTCGCCATTTGATGCCCAAACCGAGCAATGCTCATGGGGGCTTGTTTCATCCATTGCCCTTCAAGCGAGCTCAGAGAATATAAGTCCTTGCTTGTGCTGGCTGGTTCTGCATATTTGCCACCTGAGATGTATATAGTATTCTTGCAAGTGGCACTGGCATGACCATGTATCTTGCATGGCAATTCCCTGGCCTTCGTCCATCTGTCTCTACTGATGTTGTAGACTTCCACAGATGAATGCAGACACCCATTCTCACCCCGTCCCCCAATGGCAAAAATACTGTTGCTTAAGACACAACAAGAAAATTGGCATCTCTTTTCCAACATGCCTGTGATTTGGGTCCATGTGTTAAATCTTGGATCATAGCGATGGACCTTGTTTGTAACCGATAAGATCTTGTCACTGTTCGAGTCACTTGGAGTGCCAGCTTCTACTTCTCCCCCCAAAACGTAGAGGAAGTTCCCCACCACGCACACACTGTGGTTCTGCACCCCATCACACACCTGTGTGAGAGCTTTCCATTTATGGTTGTAAACATCAAAAGCCACCACTTCAGTGATGAGACCCTCACTTACTGTCCCTCCCCCTAGAAGGATGATCCGAGTTTTCTGGTTCCTCAGTGTGGTGGACTTATCCTGCAGGATTGGCTGTCTGAAAACCGATGTATGGTAGTTTATTGCTTTAATAATCAAGCATTTGATACTTGCAGTGAGGGGCACTTCTGACTGTGTGTAAATTCTCCTCAGGTCTTCCACTGGGATGAGACCGTATCTTATGTGTTCCAAAAGGCTGCTTCCATGAATCAACCTGGATTTATCCTGCTTCAGCCACAGCAGCAGAAGATCCAACAGCCTAGTTTCCTTCACCATAGGGAGATCTGGTGATTCTACCACCGCTAGCAAAGTCCTGAAATTCAGCTCAAGCAATCCTGCCAAATCCAAGTCCAGCAGCTTCCAGAGGTTGTTGACAATGTATTTTTCTGCTGCAGCTAGGGCGGCTGGCAGGTAGAACCTCATGGCAACATTGGCAGAGAAGCAGCAGTTCTCCAAGGAGAGGTTGTTAACCAAGTACTGATTGCACAAGCCAATGGCATCAGTCACTTGCAAGTAGCTCGCAGCTTCCAAGGTCTCCTCCAGGCTTTCAAAGGAAAGAGGCAGCAAGGAAGTGTAAATGAAATCCAGGACATGCTGGAGACCAGTGGGTGAGACAACCTGCAGCTGAATCACACTGGCTTTAGACTCCTGCGTGTAACTTTTGAACATGGCTCGGAAATAGTCACTGGAGCATGCCAACAAAGACTTGTGTGCAGGAAACTCATTTTCCTTCACTTTCAGCAAAATATCACATAGAAAGCCTTCTGATCTCAGGGTCTGGTAATGGGAGAGCACGGTGGTGCAGTGCGCTTTGCAGTAGGACAGGAAGTAACTCATTGTAGGTAATGCAATGCTTTCTGCTTGTCTAAGTTACTAAAGTAAAAATGCAATTAGACAGTGAAACAGATGCCTTAATCAACAGCCATTTGTATGAATGCCCACCAGACCTCCAGCTGCTAGAGAAAAGCCCAACCAAAAAAAAACCCACAGTCTCTCTCCTGGCATAGGGGAAGAATTAATAGATTTGTAGCGAATTCAATGCATTCCTTTATAGAAAAAAATGCTGAATGTCATAACAGCTGTAATAAGATGCTTACTTTTCTCGCCTCCGTTGCTTGTGTAGGGATGAATGAATGGTCCACGGCTGTGCTGAGCACTTGCTTGGCTGGCCATCAGGTGACAGATGAGGGAGCTAGATGACAATCCCAACAAGTGGCACTTTGTGTCTGCTCAGCCGTCGCCCTCGGCCCTCTTTGCTCCTCAGGCAACTCAAGTAATAGATCCTCTCTGCCTGCCAGCGCATGGCTTGAGGCAGAAGCAGATGTTTTATCCTCTCTTGTGTATGTTTCAGACTCCGGTAAGTTCAGACCACACCGCACCCGGGACAGCAGCCCCTTTCTGTCCTCTTTTCACACTCTCTCAGCTGAAGATCAGGTCAGCACCCGGGGATTATTTCGTGAAGGTTTCCTAAGACAATAAATCTCTGCCTGGGAGGCGCTGAGACAACCAAAATATCTCGGTTGGTCACTGGGCCAATCCAACCCAGTGCATATCTGGGCCCCGCGGCTCACATGACTCAGGCAAGGCTCACAGCTACCAGAATAGCTGTGGGTGCCCGCCCCCCCTCCCCCCCCAGCCGGGATCCAACTTCCATGGGCTGGACCTGGGAAGGGCTGCAGCCCTCAAGAGGCCCACGGCCCAACAGCCGTCCCGGGGCACCCAGAAGGGAAGCACAAGGGCAATGCATCTGCATGCTGGGGCCAAAATAGAGCCCTGCTTCTGCCAGAGTGGCTGGAGGGCTGGGTACTGGCTGGGAGCAGAGCCCATGCAAAGGCTTTCTCATTTTCAGCTTGTCCCAATTAAAAGCACATACAGGGATTATCTCTGATTTTCACCTGGGCCTTCCAGGATCTAATTTCTACCAGGAATAGTAGCTCTGGGCAGGTTATACATGCTGATTTCTTACAGCTTTCCTTTCGTTTTCTGTTTGTTTGTTTCTATCTCTGGTGGAGGTGTGCAGGAGTCTCCCTCTGACACTTCTCTTTCCAGGTTGAACGCCCTCAGGATTTGCAAAGTGACAGGGTAGCTGAATGCCAGCATTTTGCTGCCAGCAGACTTGAGGTAGAGGAGGATCCCACAGGACTGATAAATCTCACCTACTGCTGAAGCCAAAGGTAAAGTCTTTTTACTGCACTTTTTAAAATATTTATTTATGTGTTTTAGTGAAGTTTATCAAGGGGTGTAATCAAGGGGTGTTTGGGATCTAACTGAATCCCAGCACAGACCGTGTATGCCATGCTGCTCCTCTAGGGAACACAAGCTGTCTTGACAAAGAGGCTGATACCTGCTCGTGCTCTGTATGTGGGGGAGGATTCCAAAAATGTCATTCTTCATTGCTGCACACTTCTGTACATTTATTTCCTGCTTGAACCCACTTTCCATCATTGCATTAGAGACCATTAATCAGCATCATGTTAATAAAATCATCTTCCCTGGTAGGAGAACGACATGTGTAGACATTAGATATGATGTAGAAAAGGGACGCTTTCTCTCTTTCTCATTGGGTTTGCCTGCATCCATGTCAGCATCACTCTGAATACTTCCAGATGTTGCTACCAAAGCTATGTAGCTGAGACCAAGCTTCATTTTGCAGCTTTACCTCGTTTACACACAACAGAGGCCGGGTACCTTTGCTACCCGTTTAGCAGTCATGCGCCAGGTGCGATGCAGAGCTGACCAAATTGGCTTTGCATGACAGGTGCAATGCAAATCCTGCACAAAGGTGTTCAGGTGCCAGCTGATGGTAGGGCACTGCCAAAGGGGCCAGCACTGATTTAATGCCCATGCCAGATAAGGAGCTCCTGTATGAAGATTGGTTATGCAGTTCACTCTCATACCTCCTCCATCTTCATGGCAAGCTGGCTAATGGAAACAGTAAGAATCATGATCTACATAAAGCTGTTTATTTGCCTCGAAATTTATTCTTGTTTCTTTTCAGTTATAAATGAAACAAAGACAAACCCTTTCTAATCCCTTGCTCTGGAATGATAAAAAGATTCTCAGTGACAAAATGAGATTTCTCCCTACTTCACTTTTTGGCAGTCTGCTTAGTCTAACTTGGGAGCCCTCCTTTAATCAACAGACAAATTATCTGCAGGCAGCTGCTCAGATCTCCTGCACCTTTTGAGAAATTTTTAATATCCATTAGTGAGAGAGCAGACAGTGACTAAACAGCAACTAATGAATCTGAGAAGGCAACCTAGCACTAGGTGGAATGTAGTCAAACCATTATCTTACTTTTCACATTCATAATTTTGGGGATCAGATCTAATTTTTGACTCAGAAAATGTTGCTTAAAATTAGGGAAACATTAGTGTTTAAGTGATGTATGATTTGCTGAGAATATGTAATACATTTGTACTCATGAGCATCATTTAGGCTTTAAATTAGGTTTAGATTTCAGATTTAGAGTATATTCTCTGTTTAAATCATTGCTATTGTGCAGTAGATAGTCTGCAATAAAGAATATTCTGGGGATGCACTGCAAAAAATGTTGGCTTCCACTCTTTTTTTTCTTCATATAAAAGGCTGGAAAATGTTCTGAATTGCACTGCTGTATTCCATTTAATCTTACAAGTAGGCCATCAGTTAGTAAACACTTCAATTACCATTGTAAATGTTCCCAATTATTTTTTGAGTAAAGGTTATATAAAGAGTTGTACAAGTAAAATTAGTATCATTAGTAACAAGTGGCTTGCTGCAAAATATTCATTACAAAAATCTACAGTGGAGGATTTCCAAGCTACACTTCATACTAGAAGGAAATCAGTGCAATCCAGAGTACAGCACAGCAAAAGGTTCAGCTGTTTAACAATGTACTGCATCAACACATACAGCAAAAGTGAGCCAAATGACTAATGGCATACAATGCTGTAGAATATAGGCTTTCCAGAAACTACTGCTGAAAAAGATTATATTGATTTAAGTTGTCCTGTAAAAATCACTGGGCTGGAGTTTGTACTTCATCCTTGAATAATCATACACAATAGTATTTGGGTCATCCCATCTATTTAAATGCAAGGATGTTTGGGCTGGGAAAGCGTTCTGTAGAAACAAAGTCATGAGAGACGTGAAGGAGAAATTTCCTTGCAGCTAAGCAATGTATGGTGAGATGGTGTCTATATATGAAAGCACTGGAGAAAGCCTGACATCTTGGCTACAGGGTCAAGAGTCAGAACAGGGATTCCAGCAAAAACCCACTGCAAGAAGATGCCTGCTAAGCCATGGTTGTTATGGCAGTTTTCTGTGGACTTCTGTGGAAGAAGAGGGGAAAAAGAAGAAATGCTGTTGGCACACTTGAATTCAGGGATGCAGTGCCCAAAGGTGCTGGGCTAGCACTAACTACACTGATGTGAGAAAGTCAAAGTGCATCAAATGGTAAAAGGCAATATGAAATAAAAGCCCTTAAATCAGCTGTATCTCATCTGTTTCTTTTCTTTTTGCAGGTTCCTTTTCACTTGCCTCCAACAAAGACAGAGGCAGATATAGCTCCTATTGCTCTCCTGCTGTATTAGAGGTGAACTTCCTTGGAGAATTTAAAAAAAAAAAAACAAGTTGGGAAAGTTTTTCACCTGGGTTGTTGCCTCTGAGCATCTGCAGTGGGATGAGTCAGACAATGCAGCTGCAGAATAATGAATGTGATCGTGTTTTTCAACCAGCTAACTTCAGAGCTGCTGTGCTAATGGTCTTTGCAGTGTTTCACAGTGGAGGGCAGTTTTTACCTGCTGCCTGGAGTGTGTTTGCCTGATGTTTTACATCCAGAACTCACTGTTCCTTTTGAGGAGGCAGCAGTGCCTGTACTGCAGCTGGGTAAGGCAGACCTGAAGTTCCTTTCCCAAGGATTCCCCTGCTCTGCATCTGCTCAAAGACTGTGATGGTTACTGTGCAGTGAGGACAAGTGTGGATCTCATGGAACTGGGTTCCCAAACATTGTATACTTGGTACTTGGGCAAAATAAGGATCTTCTGACTATGTGACCAGTAGGGGCAAGACAAGTCTTATAGCTTGATGCGTCCAGTCTATTTTGATGTGATTTCTGCATACCTAGAGATACATGTGCTGAGTACAAAATCATTATAACTGTGAACCCTCACCTCAGGTCTAAGAAAATGATGAGTAAATGGGGACTGGCTCCCCATACTGTCCTGATGCATTTACTTGTGATTAAAACTGGCATTTATTTTATAGGGACAGAAATGCAAGGAAAAATAACACTGCTTTGGGACCACAGAGAAGGAAACAGCCTTCACAGTGTTTGCTGCAGAGCGCTCTCTGAAATAAAGGTGCTTTTGACACAAATGGGTTGGGATTCAGCTCTTCCACCCTCTTCCATTCCCTAATTCACATTTGAGCAAATGCTTTTTGTTGCTTAGCAAAGTAAAGGTTGTAGCATAATTACCTTCTGTTAACACTGTTGGTTTATGAGATAATTAGAGCCTGATGTCCACACTCAATTGATCACTAGAAGTATTCCTAGAGTGTCTATTCCACTTCATTGTTATCATTAGGTTCAGCAGCATGTTACTTGGTGACTACAGATTCTGTTGCCTCCACAGTCCACAACTCAGGCTTTACCACTGGAACAGAAAGAACTACAGCTGCACCTGTAAACCTATTTTATTTACTCATAAACACCTGTGTTTGTTTTTTTACCCACTTGAGAGGTAGGTAAGAGACACCACCCAAGCAAGCCCTTGCATTGGATGAAGTGCAGCTGGAATTAATTGCATATGCCCTGGGATGGACAATGAATGGCAAACCAACAAAGTCTATGCGGGGTTGTTTTTTTTTTTTTTTTGTCTCAATGACATTTGACTGAATAAAGTCATCCTGGGATGTGACAAAGGCATTGATGGGATGTGTTTTATTCACCCTTCTAATCCTAATGAATGACTGAATGGTGTGTGACCTGCAAGTCTTACTGATCATTTGTGAGGCTGAGGCCAGAGCCAGTCCATAGGAGTAAAAGGTGGTT